TTGCAAGAACTCCACATTAAAGAACCAACACACTATGGCAATTGTTCATACACCTGCATAAAAATACACACACAAATGTGCATACATACAAACAAAAGGAAAACAGGGTCTTGTATATATATTTCAATTTATTTGTAGCATCAGTGTTTTCCTGTTTTGTTCTTTTGTTTGTTCTATTCAATCATGTTTGTTGCCTTCTCTACTGTAGGACTTTGCTTTAACTTGTTATACAGAGTTGTATATTTTTTATTGTTTTCTCTTTTTAGTTTGTTTTTTATTCTTATTTCAATTTGTTCGTTTGGAAAGCCAGTATGTCATGTACCTGCGCTGTTGTGGATTTTTTAATTTTTTTTGTTTGTTTGTTTGTTTGTTTGTTTTTAAATCTTTGTGTAGTTTAAGAGAACATTTTTTAACACTTTTGGAATTGCCTGGACATTTCAGGAGCTTCAAGGAGCTGAAACTTCTTTTTGTTTACCTGTAAAAGGTGTATCTAGTTTAAATGGAAACTCTCTTTTAAAAAATCATAGAATATGCAAAAAGAAGGACGAGCTGGCAAAAATATACCGTCCTGTGGGACCGAGAAGGAGGAGCAGTTGGGGGGCCGCATTAGTCCTCTCCAATCAGATAGACCGATAGACTGGCAGATCTTTCTCTAAAGCTTCATATTTTCTATTGAAACAAACAGCCTTGCTGTTTTAGAGTGATAGTGAAATGCCTCACCTTAAAAAGAAATCTGTAGATTATTTTGAAAAGAATTCTATTTTTGTAACAGAAAAGAGTTTGCTTGAGAAGTCATACTTATTTGCATTTCATCTACCATAGAAAGGGGATTTGTGTATAAGTGTTATGCTGGTTTTGTACACTTGCAATGTGGTTCCTGGTTTGTTAAGAGATTAAGGTGGCTTTTGAATTCCACAAGAAAAAATATGTCCTCTACTGTTCTAGATTCAAAAGTGAAGCATTTTCAATGTTTTGGTTTTTAAAACATAATATTATTCCCATCCTGATAATTACTTTGGTTCATATGGATAGTTCATGTTTAAGGAAAGAAAAGAATACATTTGTGTTTTGAAAGACTTTTTAAATATATTTGAAGGTGTGATTTTTGAGTATGCATAGCAAATAGATATGTATTCTAAATATAATATAGATATTTATATAAATATATAAACACGATTTTCACTTGGAAAGAAATGTCTATCTTTATAGAAACACAATCATTATCAGTTGCCCTTACTTTCTCACTGCACATTAAAAACATTGATTTCCTTTTGATGTTTTCCTTTTGTGTCCAACTTTGACCATTTGTTGGCAGTAATTCATAACATCTGCTTCACGCACTGATTACGCTCATAAAATCCACATTAATAGTCAGATGAACGGCATTTTCATCAATCATTATGCCTTCAGTGGTGACACTGGTGGAGTACTGCTGCTTCTGAAATGCCTCTAAACACTGCAGAACTTAACTGTGCCTTAACCTGCCAACTCCTCTAGTAGTGGACAACACACCGGGACTATAGTACAAGACAGCCTGAGAGCACTGTGTGCATGTGCGTACAACTGTTCTCTCTCCATGTGCTCATTCGGATTATTTTCATAAATAACTACAGGTTATTAAAGGATAGTTCCAGTTGTATTCCAGCAAGTATCTGAAGCCAACAATGAACGAATCAATGAATCATGAGAGATATACTGTACTACACTGTAACAAAAGGAGACTATAGGAACTAATGTCCAGTTGTATGTTTGGACTGTTTGTGTTCCTATCTTCCAGTAATTATCTTGCTTTTAAGAAACACATTACATAATACAACACTGACCAACTTTATCATTACAGCATAATTTCAGTGCTAACCTTGCTGGGCTGCTGGAGACCGAACCACAGTGATACCAGAGCAATCAGCGTCCTGTGAGAAACTACTGGCAGCTGGAATGAGCTGAGGGCGTGGTAACACTAGGTGTGTGTGTGACGATATGTGTGAGAAGTGACCAAAAGCAACAATGGCCGCTCCTAAAGAGGTTTGTTTTTATGTTTCAAGCATCAGTTTTATCAGAACTGGAGAGTATTTATTCACTGAAAGAAGAGCAAAGAACAACAGTGAAGGCTTTTCTTAATAGAAAACATGTTTTCAATCTTCTCTCGACTGGTTTAGAGAGTTTGACTACATTATATGGTTCGTTGATCTGATTGATTGAAGTTCGCTTGTGATGGATGTGATAGATGGTTCATCCAATCACCTGCCAACTATTTTTAGAACCTGCCCTTTTCCGACAATGACTTTCCAGACGGTTTTGTGTAATAAACCATCTGGCACAGTCAGGTTAAGTCAGTGCAGTGTGCAAAGGAAAGAAAGGCCAACAATTAGACACGATGTAATGACGAGGTCATGATGGGAATCTCACAGTTTAAAATGTGTTGATATGGGGGTCACTGAGGCCTTGTAGTCTAGAACACCATGTAATCTTCCCTGGTTCAATACTGGCTGGGGACAGCTGCATGGTATCCCCTGGCTCTCTCCCCATGTTTCCTGTTTATCTCTCCTGTCAGATAGAGGCAGAAATGCCAAAGAAAAGTGCTGATGTAGGAAACATTTTGGCTTAAAGTCAAGGATTCTCATTTGATGCCTGACTTTTGCTTGGCAACCTAAACACAACGTTGAGTGCTGCCAAACAGTGCCATCTCCTGGGGATTCACAATATCTACGGGCGCTGTTTATGATTGAACACTGGTAAACACAGAAACACAGAAAAAATTACTGACTCTCCTGACAATCCCAGGAGAGGACAGAGAAAGAGAGAAACTGGGGCAGAGGAAAAAGACGGGGACACAGTTAAAGGCAGAGGAAGGGAGAAAGCAAATGAAAGGGTTTGTCACTATAAAAGACATTATATGGACATATTTGTTGGTGCCAGGGTGCCCAAAAGAAGCTGTAAAGCACAGATGGTTTCAGACTATGCAAACACAAAAGGGAAAAAACACATATAACTGCAGCGATGAAAACATAAATCAACCACTGGAATTTGCTTTGGCTGAATAAAGACGCCAACAGTTGGAGGCATGCACACATGCAAGCACACACAACATGTTGTCAACCACAAGTAGAGCCGGTGACTGTTGCGTGTTGGCAGCCTCCTGCCAGACAGCTGGGGTTTTATTAGCAGACACAGGATTAATAGACTCTATTACCCAGAGCAATTAAGGACCTAATTGGAGAGAAAATAGGCCCCATCGAGAGGGAACATGTAGAGGAGATAGACAGAAATAAGCATATCTTCAGAGCAAAGTCCACAGTGGCATATGTAAGAGGGGGCTGTGTGTGTGTGTGTGTGTGTGTGTGTGTGTGTGTGTGTGTGTGTGTGTGTGTGTGTGTGTGTGTGTGCGTGTGTGTGTGTGTCTCATTTTTGTCTTTTCCTGCAATGCCTTATCACACCACCGGGAGGTGTGTGAGCATTAGTGATGGTCTCACATGAACATTAACTATGTATCTCATGTTTTCATTGATGCTGCTTATTATTGTATTCAAGTTCTTCCTTGCTGTGGAATTCCATTTCGATTGCATGAGATTAATCAGTGCTGAATAGGAATAGATATAACACATAGACAAAGCCATTGCTACTTTGAGGAGCACTTGAAAACCCCACTGGCTCTTGTAAATATCTTGTCATTGAGTTTTTTGTTTAGAAGATAGACTGAAATTTGATTGAATTACTGGAAAATCCATATGTCTATTTTTAGTATTTCACCTTTCTTTTATTTGTCATAACAACATGTACCACCTCCTGTTGGCTGGTGCACAGCCACTGATGACAATGCTCTCACTTTTAAGGTCTACCTGGGAACAAGAGGTATTTTTATGGTCCAGTGGCTGTCTGACTGAGAGAATCTGCCCATCTAGGGTATAATAATTAGTGGTTAGGGTTAGATTTACATCTAAAATAATAACCTTCTGGACAGATTCTTTTGTCAGTGGTGGGCGAAACAAAGCAGCAGGGACTGTGCACAGGTACAGGCTGCCATCTGGCCTTTGAACAGTGACTGAGTGTGGATGCTGCAAGCAGGAATCAGGTGTTCAGGGACTCAGAGATAATTTGGTCACACTGTTGTATGCATTGCAACTGCAGAAAATCTTGCCGCATTGTCCAAGAGAAACTCTCAGTTGTACAGGTGTTTCATCACATAGATCTCTATTGAACTGGTGGAATCTAATGTTGTATGATGAGGCCATAAGCCTACAGTATCTACCCTTGCCTTCATGTGCCTTTTCCAGATCCTCTACCTCTGCACGATTTATTTTCCTCCATCCCTCCTCTACTTTCTGCCAGGGGCATTTAAGTCTGCATCCACAAAATTCCACACTGTAATGGCCAAAGTTGGAGGGACAGGTAGAACATTACCTGGGGCAGTTTGACTAGATCATTTCTGAATCTGTCTGTCTGTGTGTGTTTGTTTGTGTGTGTGTGTGTGTGTGTGTGTGTGTGTGTGTGTGTGTGTGTGTGTGTGTGTGTGTGTGTGTGTGTGATGTTGATGGGGAGGGTGATGCATTTGCACGCACAACTGCTGCATGTGGTATACTGTTGCACTCTGGTGGTCTGACATGGCATTTCACCAGTATTTAGAAGTCACAGTGCCACTGTTAAACTCCCACCTTATGCCGTACTGTACAGCAAACAGCCTGTGTAGGTAACTCAACTATAGCTTCCCAAGACTCATCTTAATCTAAAGCTGATGGAATAAACCTTTGTTAATAACATTGAAATTAATCAGTGTGACTCAGATTTTTCAAGCTGACTTACGTCAGCTTTATAGTTATCAGTGCTCACGAACTGAAACTTATTATCTTCATAAGATTCTGTCTGGGACTGATTTCACATTTTACCCAGTGAAAAGTGTGTCAGTTATGACAGAGCTGATATCACACACACACACACACACACACACACACATATAGACACACATAGACACACAAATGCACAAGAACAGCAAATAAAAAAAACAGTTCTGAGAGTATTTCTTTATTATAGAAAAATAGTTTATATAAAAACAAATAAGTTATGAATTCCAGCAGCTGCTTTGTTTTTTCCTCTATTATAACATAGTTTGCCCTCAACACACTCTCTCTTCTCATTCTCTCATACACACACGCACACACTTAGGCTGTGTTGGTCACTGTCACAGTCCTTGAAGATCTCCAACACACAGTAGTTGTAAATTCAGTCCCTATTATCCTCTTCATCTTCCCACATCTCATACTCAATAAGAGATTGGAGCATTTCAGTCCATCTGGCATCTGAATCTGCTGAATTCACCTCAGTGCACTGTGGACTGTGACCTATTTCCCGTAGAACATCTCCATGAGCACCTCCTCGATGTTGACGGCCCCTATAACGGGTCTGAAGAAGAGTTGTGCGACCACCAGCGGGTTGATGGCCCTCAGCATGGACAGAGCTATGAGCAGTTTGGCGAACCGCGTCGTGTCCTCGCGGTGGATCAGCCTGACGTGCTCGTTCAGAGCCTGGTGCGCTTCCCGACGCAGAGACTGGATGTAGTGGAGGCAGCGCAAACCCTCCACATCTGGAGGAAAAAGAGAGGACAGGAAAGGAGAGGAGAAACAGAGAGTGAAATGAGAGGAAGGAAAAGTTGAGTATGGTTTCATACAATCATGCTGTAACAGCTGTCAGTAGGAGGACGCAATAAACCAGTTTGTTACCCAAATCCCAAAGTCTCAAAATGATAACAGCTTGACATGATTATTTAAGTAGATTAATTACATCTATTATATCTTCTCTGTAGATATTTGACCAATCATCATCTAACCCTAACCCTAATAAACCGAACCTAACACATAAATAATCGCTAATCAATAAGCATATAATAAACCTATTCTGAGAAATGCTCTGACAGTTTGCACTTTATTGCGTAAAATAACTTTGACGCACAGGTATTAAGAGCCTACCTGGGTTGAACAGCACAGCTCCTTTCAGGTACGCATACTCCTTCGTACTGATATCTACACTCCAGCACTTCTTCAGGAAGGCTTTGATAGCTTCGATATCCACGACAGAGACCCCGGCTGCCCCCCTGCTTTGGCCAGCCGGCACCTCGCTCTGCCTGTCTGGTAAACCCGTGAGGATGCGCTGCAGCATGCTGGGCTCCACGGTCTCCGTGGTCTCAAAGTCCACTCGGTCTTGTGCGAGTCCCAGCACGAGCAAGGGTGCCCAGCCGCTCCGGATCAACATCAGCTGGTCGTCCTCCGGCAGCTCGCGAAAACAGGGGACGTTTTTCACGAACCGCAGCGTCTTCACCAGAACCGCCGAGGCGGCTTTGCACGTCACCTGTGGGAAGCGGAGGATACCTCTGCGCCGGGTCGAGCCGCAGGAGCAAGTCTGCTGCCGGAGCTCCTGCAGAGAGGCTGGGGCGGCGGTGGAGGAGGTCTTGTGAAACAATTGTTGCAGGGTTTGTTGTTGTTGGGGATGTTGTTGTTGTTGTTGTTGTTGTTGTTGTTGCTCCTCGGCAGTCGCAAGGCTGTCACTCTTCAAAATGTTGTAGAGGATGCTGTTATTGTTTCGGCCGCTGGCACCCCGACAGCGGCAGCCCTCCAGCGTGGCCATGGCCGCTGGCCGCTCTACATGGGATGGAGCTCAGCGCGTCCCGCTGTCTCTTTGAAGCGCCGGAGGTCAGTGACAGAGGTAGCGCTGTTTTCTTAGCCCCTGATAGCCCCGAGTGAAGGGCAGCACGTTTATATTAACTCCCGTCTGTACCCGCGCTTTGAGAGCTTGTTCAGACTCTGCATATTCCGCCTCCTCAGGCTCAGGCACCTCCTCTTTCTCCACCTCCTCTTCTTACTCTCCCCCCTTCTCTCTCTCTCTCTCTCTCTCTCTCTCTCTCTCTCTCTCTCTCACACACACACACACACACACACACACACACACACACACACATCTAAAACACACACATACTTGCCCATATTCAAGGCACACCACTATTTAAAAAAAACTTCAAACAATAATCTAATCATCAAAAAAGGCAACATTCAATAGACCTGGTTAGTTACACAGATTGTAAGAGAGAAGGGAAAAAGAGAGAGGCAAAGACAGACAAGGAATCAGAGCCCAGTTCTATTCTCAGCATTACCTTGACTCTCTGGCAGTGCTGTTTATCAGACTGGAGCCGGTAAAAAATATAGGCCAACGACGGATCTGAAGGCTTAATTATTTTAGGGACAATTTATATGATTTTCTATGAGAAAGAAGTAGGAAGAGCTGAGCTGTGAAGGCCAGCCTCCAACCTTGACTCGGACACACTGATATTGATTTAACCGTGAAAACAGGAGCTGGTGAATTATGATGTCATGACTCAATGCTCTCCTTGCCTCTGTCACTGAAGGAGGATGGGGAGCAGGGAGGGTGGGTGGCAAAGGAAGGGAGGAGTGGAGGTCAGTGAATGAGAGACTGAGTAAGACAGGTCGGGGTAAAGCAGATGAATTAGAGGTTTATCTTAAATGCTCCTAAGAGGGACCACAGGTTAGGGTTGGCTGCTACCTGAGAGAGACAGGCTGGACGGGGGCTTAGGGGGAAATCAGAGGTGATTACAGTGGAGTTTAATTGTCAGAATGAGAAAAACTGAGAGGATGATGCAAAGGTACCAAGCTGAAGTCCTGACTTACTAAACAGTATGTTGGGAACAGGTTCGGGAAATTCTGGTGTAGCACCTGACAAATACCCTCAAACAAATAACCCCACACTGCCACACAGGGTCTGCGTGTAAGGTTATCTTTGATGTGGAGAATGAGTGCATGGCCACATTCATGAAATACATGTAGCAGTAAGCAGGACCTCAGTGTCCCCTGCTCTGTTGCATTGAAGGACACGGCTGTGAATGGAGGCAGGATGAAAAACTTTTGCAGTAGTGCTACAACATTGTTCAGAGGATGAATGTCTTTGTATTGATTTGGCTGAGAGAGAAAACAGAGAGATTTTTCACATGTTTATATCAAGGACACCGCGGGATAAACAGCCTTCGCCCAGTCTGTCTCTTCTCCCGCTCAAGGCCCAGCCAGCGCAGGTTATAAAAATCCTTCTGTCTCAAGGAGAGATTCCATTATTGTTGCAAAAGCACAGAGTTGAAAAGACAGCTACAGTTCTCTGACGCTCTTTGTCTTGCTCACGGCTTCCTTTGTTTATTTATCAAATTTGTACAAGATGTACTTAAGTATCTCTCCACTCCACCATCTTCCCTCAGACAGTGCAAATAAAATATGTCTTAAAATATTCCTTTAATATAGTGAGAATCCACTGGCCTCCAGCGCATGATGTGTATCCAAATATTGTTCAGACTAACAAGACTTTATTTTAAATTCAGCGCAAATCCAAACGTGTTCAAAGATAAAGAGAAAAGAAAAAAGAAGAAAAAATGTGTATAAAATGAACAAGAATATAACATTTACTGAATGAAGAATCCATAAAATACATGAAGTCTTGGGTTTGAATTTTTCACTTGATGCCGAATATACTATATATGATATTAGAATTTAGTTACAAAGTATTTTATGTTGGAAAAATAGATTAAAACAGGTGACTAAAAACACCTTCTTTGTTCCATTACTCCCAATATTTAAAGAGATCCACTGAAAGCAGTGGGGATAAATACATTGTCATAAATTTTTTCTTGATTACATGTGTGCATCATTTTCTCTGACTCCCTTGTGTATAGGTAGGCAGTCTGAAACGAGCATGTAGGAAATGGCGGACTCTGCCACAAACATTAAAGTTACTTTAGAGAGCCAAAGTGCAACTGGGACTTCTAGGTAGTTCTTGGAAATGCATCTAATTGTTGAATGATGCCCAACTTGTTTTAACAGGGTGTCTCCTACGAGTGTGGCACTACATCATTCTGGTGAAACTGGATCAGATTAATTTTATGGAGAAAAGGTTTTCTGTTTTTTCCCTCTGATGCCCTCCAGCTGCTCCGCCTTGATTCTCAGTGATGTAAGGCGTTTCCAGATAGATAGATAGATAGATAGATAGATAGATAGATAGATAGATAGATAGATAGATAGATAGATAGATAGATAGATAGATAGATAGATAGATAGATAGATAGCTCAGTTAGCCATGCTGCCCAGACTACAAGCTCGGACAACCTAGGGGAGTGTTGGTGTTTACACCAATGGCACAGGAGCTTTGGACCACTGGGAGTCTCAAGGGGTGGGGGATATGCCAAAAATTGGAACGGCACCAGGCTCAGCAGCCTCTACAAACATCATCAGCAGAGACAAAGAGACTGAAGAGGATCGAGGAAGCTAAGAAGAGAAAAATGGAGGGAGTGACCAACCAAGAGTAAATCCTGGTCTGGCTTTTTAGTCATTGTTAAGTGTGTTGTGAAATAAAAAGCTGCAAGACAGATGCCAAGCTGGCCTTCTTGCTGTTAGCTGGTTTGCTGTATCTTTTGTGGTTGATGTTCGGCTGTGTTAGGAAAGTCATAACAAATGCACATGTGCAGCTGTCCATATTTACAGTGGCGTCTTTGAAACTGAGCTCCAAATTGCAAAAAATACCAATTCTTGTACATTGTTGCTTTAACATCAAAAACATAGTTTACTGTATACTGGACTAATTGCCAAGAACATTTAGCTTTCTAGAGGCTATACCATCAAGTAACAGAGCCACAATCATGGTATCAGCTTCAGCGATCCAGTTTGTTCTTAGTTTTCTGTGATATAGAGCAGGCTCTTTCTCTGGCCCAGTGCCTGCTGGTCCCAAGCCCAGTTTAAAATGGCTCGGCATAGGGAGGACTTCTCACAGCCCTATCCCATAACTTTAAGGATGTGAACACGCTTCCCACAAAATACAGCACCCTGTTAGTGTTTGTCTACAGCTAGTAAACTGTCATATTTCAGCATTACAAATATGAGTTCTGACCAAGGCTCTTAAAACTGGTCTTCTTGGCTAAATTTACCAAATTATTATGATGCTAAAGTGTATTTTTACTATTTAGCAGACAAAACACTAAGCTCTCTTCTCTTCCCCAACTCCCTTCTGCCAATGACTGGTCTGCTCGTAAATATCTGCACGCACAATAACAAAAAGTTTGAACTGTAAAAGTGCACACACACACACACACACACACACACACACAAACACACACACACACACACACACACACACATACACACACACAACTTTCTCATCTGTCTTTGATCTGCACTTCTTAAAATAATTGCTGTGGCACCCAGACAGTCAGAGTCAGACAGCATCAGCCACACTACAGCTTTGTGTCTAGTGCTGAAATTTAGAGCAAGGTCAGTACCAAAGATGTTATTTACTCGGACAAGGGGCATGGGAAAGTGAGCGCAGAGCACATGCAGGAATTAAAGTGGGAAGAAAAGACAGCGTAAAGTACCATTAAAAATAAATTCCAGTGCTTTAAGTTTTCAGCGTTTGACAATGGAGAGTAGGTTTAGTAAAAACTTTGCTTTAAAAGCAATAATTTAAAAAGACAAGTGCAATTGTGTCAACTTCAGTCTTCACCTGGAGTTTTCGCAACCTTTCAGCTGAAACGTTTGAAGGAACTTCTTTTGTAACTCTGTGTAATGTCTACAACTTACTAATACTTTGCAATTCCTTTTCAATGTGCCAGGTAAATACACAAAATGTTTTCAGTAAGTGAGTATTGTTACGTTATGTGCTTTTGCAGCAGTAAGCATTTCCTGAAGGCTGATTGCACAAATGAAATTTTGAGGTTGCCATGACCCAAGAAGACAGCTCTTTGGCACATTCAGCCAAGTCGGCCTTGAAACACAAGGGTGGAGAAAAACACAAGGTTTTTACCAAACACTTGGGGCTTGGACACCCACAGACACTCCAAGACAGGTCTCAGAAACTTAAGAGGACAACTTTGTATGATTCAAGGCTTTGCATCAAATGGCTCCCCTGGAAAAGTCTTGTACTGCATTGTTTGTTGATTTGTTGGGCACTCTTCTGGCGGTTGCTATAGTGACTGCCTCCATTTTCTCTCTGTGGCTGCTCACATAAAGGACTGTGTCCTTGTCTCCATAATAGTTACAAATTGAATACTGCACTTTCCAAGGACTCATGTCACCAACTTACAGCAGAGTGAGTGTATGAGTGTGTGTGTTTGTGTGTTGGAGAGGAAGAAAGAAGACAAGTTTGCATTAGATGTGATGAATGTGAGGTAAAATGTTTTTTTACTTAGTCTTGATTTATTCTGTGAATTAGACGATACAAAAATAATAATAATATAATAATAATATATAATAATATAATAATAATGCAATTACATAAACAGCACAAACAGTGAAATCAATGTAACAAACCAAATACGTAAAGATACAACAAAGAACAAAAAAAAGACAGGATTTAAAAGGACTACAAGGTACATCAGAATTATTATTAGGCATAACTCGTACTTTTATTGCTAATGGATCAGATGAGGACTGCCCAGTCAGTCCACCAACCATTCATATTTTAACTAGAAATTGAATCATAGCTCCAATAGAAAACTCAGAATGCAAATAAGCACATAAGATATCTATAGATGCCAAGGTAGTGTACTTAGTATAGTTCAAGTCTTATAAATCATACCTGTTTTTCTCAATTTTGAGGAATCGCATCATGTTTCTTTTCAAATCCCATGAAAAGACCACAACCAAAACGCACTCACAAATACATTGTTTCATTGTTTAAAAAGGCTCAGTAGTTTCCTTTTTTAAGCTGGGCACTGTGGTTTTGGCAAACTTTACTTAAATAGGAGCAAATAGTGCATCTGTTGGGGACTGATTTCAGCTGTGGATTAATTCACATTTTGTTATTGTGAGTATGAAAGCTG